GTGTTCAGGTCAGGGCTCTGTGCAGGCCAGTCAAGTTCTTCCACACCAATCTTCGACAAACCATTTCTGTATGGACCTCGCTTTGTGCATGGGGGCATTGTCATGCTGAAACAGTAAAGGGCCTTCCCCAAACTGTTGCTGCAAAGTTGGAAGCACAGAATCGTCTAAAATGTAATTGTATGCTGTAGCGTTAAGATTTCCCTTCACTGGAACTAAGGGACCTAGCTCGAACCATGAAATACAGCCCCAGACCATTATTCCTACTCCACCAAACTTTACAGTTGTCACTATGCATTCGGGCAGGTAGCGTTCTCTTGGCATCCGCTAAACCCAGTTTCGGCCATCGGACTGCCAGATGGTGAAGCGTGATTCATCACTCCAGAGAACACGTTTCCACTGCAGAGTCCAATGGCGCTCGGCATTCCACATGCTGATCTTAGGCTTGTGTGCGGCTGCTCATCCATGGAAACCCATTTCATGAAGCTCCTGACGAACAATTATTGTGCCAACATTGCTTACAGAGGCAGTTTGGAACTCTGTATTGAGTGTTGCAACCGAGGACAGACAATTTTTATATATACACACAAAAGTATGTGGACAAAATGGGGGAGGGAGGCACGGGGAGGTTTGTCAATAACACTGGCACAGAATTGGCAATTGCGGTGGTGGAAAGGGGTGTGCACTCGGCGGTCCCATTCTGTGAGCTTGTGTGGCCTACCACTTTGCGGCTGAGCCGTTGTTGCTCCTAGACGTTTCCACTTCACAGTAACAGCACTTACAGTTGACCGGGGAAGCTCTAGCGGGGCAGAAATTTTACAAACTGACTTGTTGGTAAGGTGGCATCCTATGACGGTGCCATGTTGAAAGTCACTGAGTTCTTCAGTAAGGCCATTCTACTGCCAATGTTTGTCTATGGAGATTGCATGGCTGTGTGCTCAATTTTATACACCTGTCAGCAATGGGTGTGGCTGAAATAACCAAATCCACTAATTTGAAGGGGTGTCCACATACACTATATATACAAAAGTATTTCAAATTCGAGTTCTATGTGCCCTCTGTGCAGTATTAGTGGGCTAAGGAGCACCTCTACCCGTTAGCCAGCCTGTGTGAAGAGAAGATTCCACTGGAACGATGAGGACTAGTAGCACTGTCAGTCTGGGGCAATCAGTTCTATAGTATTTCACTCAAACTTGTATGCATATTGAATAGTCAGTCACTCTTTATGTCAAGTTGCTCCAATACTGTGATGTTAAACAGTTGAGTAATTATCTGTAGCTACACAGTTACAACTCTCACAATCTCAATGGAATAGTAGTGTTGTTTATTTTCCATGTCTCTATGCAGAGCCATTGATAAAGTGGGTAGAAATCTGAACAGAGACCTTTAAGACCTTTCCTGACTTTACAAACGAGTCAGATCATCAACCAGAGGCAAGACAGAGGACATAAATGGTTTGCACAAAACATCCATTTAAATCTGAGGTATCTATTGTTTCATCATGTACAAATCTCCTGAAAACAAAGCTGTTGGGATGCACACTCACAGACAGACAGCTGATGGTTCCTACAAAGTTATCTATGTCAGACAAGACAGGATGTTGCTGTCAACTCCTTGGACACAGGCTGGGGTCAATTCCAATACAATTCTGTTAGTTCTAGAATTGAGAAATTAGCTGAATTGAGAAATTCCATTCTAGAATAGAAAAGTGCCTTTCGTTTTCAATGGGGATATTCCAATTCTTTAATTCAGAATTCCAGTTCACATACTGAACTGACACAATGCAATTGACCCCTATGGCGGACTGTGAGAGAATGTGTGTAGTGGACACAGAAAGCTGATACACTTTATGTTTCAGCTTAGTCAATGGAAGAGATATGTAATACTGTACTGAATTAAACTGGAATCGAAAGTCAAACAAAACACTGCTTGTTTGTCGTAAAGAAGAGAAGGGGTGTTGTAACCGTGGGGATAGGCAGTCTGCTATTAAAATGTTTATTTAAAACAGAAACTTCCCTCTTTAATGATACTTATATGAATAGTAGAGGAGAAACTATTTCATGTAATAAAGGCACTGTAACAATCCTGTTTTTCATCTACAATCAGACTAAAAACAAGGTTTGTTTCTTGAAATAAACGTGGGCTTTACTTAGAACTCTTCCATTGCCCTCAATTTTGTACACAAATAGTTTGACTTGTGATCAACACAAACCTGCAAATTTGATATGGACCGCATTGTCTGTACAGTGTCCATTGTTGATCATATGATATTCATTTATGTCAGATGACCAATAAAGTAATATTTCTACTCTATTCCTTTCTATTCTTTAACACATCATGGGCAGCACACTGTCTTCGAGACAGTAGGGTGCTTCCACGCGTGAAATATTTTAAATGCTTTTAACATTTGTTTCACAAACCATTTTTTAGAAAATCATGATGAAAGGGGCCATTTTATGCCCTTTTAAAAGACCCCTCCTGTAAGACCCTATGACCGTGAACCGTACGGACAACATCTTGGTGTCATACTCCTTATAGTGTACTCTAAAATATGGAGTAGGTCTCTATTCTGAACAATAAAAGCACTCGTTTTTGTTCTGGTGGCTTTAGGCAGTAGTTCTGAAGTCTGACATTAATTCTGCAGTCTATGTTGAAGTGACATGTTGGGAGGTGTGGGAAGAGGGCCTTCACTACATACTGTAGCAGCCTTTTGGTTGGTTTAGTGCACATGTCAAACTCATTCCACGGAGGGCCAAGTGTCTGCAGGTTTTTGCTCCTCCCTTGTACTTGTACTACCTCCCGAGTGGCGCAGTGCTAGCTGTGCCACTAGAGATCCTGGTTCGAATCCAGGCGCTGTCGTAGCCGGCCGCGACCGGGAGACCCATGGGGCAGCGCACAATTGGCGCACAGTTGTGGGTTCGATTCCCATGGGGGGCCAGTATGAAAAAAAAATATATATATAAAAAACATTTATGCACTCACTAACTGTAAGTCGCTCTGGATAAGAGCATCTGCTAAATGACAAAAATTTAAAAAAATGTTGATTGATGAATTAAGGTCACTAATTTGTAAATAACTCCCCTCACCTGGTTGTCGGGGTCTTAATTGAAAGGAAAAAACAAAAACCCGCAGACACTAGGCCCTCCATAGAATGAGTTTGACACCCCTGGTTTAGTGTATCAAAATAGTCTGTTTCCAGCTGTTGGATCTGTGACCGGCAGGTCAAAGAGCAGGTGAAGTCATGTGACTGAGAGATTGGTTTTGATTGGTCAGGAACAGTTCTGATGTTGTCCTGGCAACCTCTAAATCAGATAACATCCACTGTGGCACTAATGCGTGACTGTATCCTCAAAACAGAGGGAGGTAGGCAGACAAGAATAGAGGTGGGTAAAATAGATGCTGGGTGAAGTAGACACTGGTCCTGGGTCAGTTTAGCATTTCCTCAACTAATGGTGAAGGTCATGATTTAAGGAGGGCAAGCTGATCTTAGATCTACACCTAGGGGCAACTTCACCCCAGAGCGGGAAAATAGAGAGGGGGGAAAGAAGGCAGGTAGTGAAAAAATTCAAGTGGCCAGAGTAGTGTAGATCAGAACTCTTGGTGGGAAGGAGGGGGAGGGGGCGTGAGAGAGAGAGAAGGAAGAAAACGGTATAGAACAGTGTTTCTTAATCCTGGTCCTGGGGACTCTAAGGGGTGCACATTTTTGTTTTGCCGTAGCACTACCAGCACTCTAGACTAACTTTTTCAGTTGATGGCACCAGCACATGATTTGGTCGAACCAATTTTTCAAAAAATAATTGGTAGTGACCTGACCTGTTTTCCATAATGTACCTGCATTCCATACAGAACCAGGCTAATAACGACTAGTCATCTTTTAAATTAGCATTCCCTTGCATGGCTTGACATTCAGATAAATTTGACAGTGGCACACCAGGCCAGTGCCAACTGAAAGCTACTGACCTGAATGGAAAAGCAATAGCATATTTCCATTGATTGTTTGGAGAGAGAAAAAATCTAACCTTTGCGCAATCTCAGAAAATGTGTTATTGTTAACTATTTTAAACAGTCACACTACAGTTGTAGGCCCTATTAAATCAGTTTTATGTTTTGGTAAATTCTGTTTTCCCAATTTCATTTTCCAGGTTTCGAGTTCACACTTTTTTATAGAAATACTACACAATGGGATGTTCCAAGTCCACAACAGTGCTTAAACCACATCAGGAGACCACTTTTGGTGGTCTGGGTGTAGTTGCCATTAAATGAAATTGCATGCCTAGCAAGAGACCCTTGTGTTTGGCTAGCAGTGTTTTTGTACTGTACAATGTACAGTGTAGGCTACATGTGATGGCAGAGTATTAAAATTTACATTTTAGTCATTTAGCAGACGCTCTTATCCAGAGCAACTTACAGGAGCAATTAGGGTTAAGTGCCTTGCTCAAGGGCACATCGACAGATTTTTCACCTAGTCGGCTCAGGGATTAGAACCAGCGACCTTTCGGTTACTGCCACAGCGCTCTTAACCACTAAGCTACCTGCCGCCCATTAGCAAAACAAATGCCCCGTGATTGATACAAATCATAATGATATCATTCTGCCAGGTAGGCTTAATTTGCAGTAATTTAATTGGGAAAGTTATTTGGGAATGTTAATTCAAACTGCGCATGATGACTGAATTGCGCATCCCAAAGATTCAATCAAGACTTCGGACTAAACTTTTTGAATACCTGGTCTGCCTACCCATTGTTGTATACCCATTGCGGTTTGAATAAATCTTCATAATAATAAAAAAGCTAAATGTGAACCAAAACCTACAGTGACCAGAAAAAAAAGAAAATTTACTGGCACCCTAACGACCAATTAAAATTGGTGTCGCAAACGCGAGTGTCACGTTTGGAGCCCTGACTACATAGCTGACTCAAATGATCAAGTCATCATCAAGCTTTGATTTTAAAATCAGGTGTGTAGTGCTAAGGCAAAAACTAAAACATACAGCCTTTGGGTCCCCAGAACCAGGATTAAGAAACACTGAGTAGTTAGTTAACTAAGCGCTAGCTGGGTCAGGTAACAGGTTGATTTAGAATTAGAACTCTGTGTGTAGAGGATGGCTGTAGTCCATGTTCCCTAGTGGGCTTTCACTGGGCTTCATATACACCCCCTCCATGGCCCTCCACAGGCTGTGCTGGCTGGAGCCCGTCATAGCGTGAACCTCCCTCTGCCCGTGGATGGGCCGGCCGTACTGCTCCCCCGTAACAGATAGCAATGTATCAGTGGAGGCATGCTGGAAGCGGACGGCCTCCTCACGCTCCCACACTGACCCTCCGCACTGCACAGTCCACTCATCCAGGTGGTCCCCCTCTCCCTCCTCACCAAACGCACTCACCTCCTGAGGAGGGGGGGGGGAGAGAAAGAGAGGGTCAGAGAAAGCATTATCAACAACAATCATACAATGTTATCTTCTTGGTAGTTAGTGAATGAGGGGGGAAGACAGAGCAGGGGCTCGAACCAGGCACCTTCTTAACTAAAGTGAAGAATCAACTGATGGGGTTGCCATGTTTATGAACGTTGAAAATGTACGCTATTCCATGGATTTTCCCCTTCACTTCAAAGAGGAAGGCATACGATCAGCCAACATCAGCGCAGCAGAAAAGAGGACAAGCTAAGGTAAGGTAGCTAACGTTACCTAGCTAACTACATTTGTTTATCCAAACCAAAAACTAGCTAGCTAGCTTTCTTAATACGCTGGCTAGACATTCCAAAACATATAAATGTAATTAGCTAGCTACTATCTATCTAACTCTGACGATGTGATTTGTAACTTTGCAAGCTAACATTAGCTAGCTAGCTAACGTAACCTAAAGAAGCTAACTGTTAGATAGCTAACTAACTACTGCAGAGGCTAACGTGACAAAGTGTTCTCTTTAGAGTCCTATCCCATCAACATCTGCAGAGGCATCATCAAACTCAGCACCAGGCACTAGTGTAAGTCACCTTCTAAAATCTACAAAATCTTTCTATGACGAGCAAATAAATATACTGGAGCTAGGCATGTATTTTTATTTTACCTTTATTTAACCAGGTAAGCCAGTTGAGAACAATTTCTCATTTATAACTGCGACCTGGCCAAGATAAAGCAAAGCAGTGCGCTAAAAACAACAGAGTTACACATGGGATAAACAAAACAAACAGTCAATATACAGTGTGTGCAAATGTAGTAAGTTATGGAGGTAAGGCAATAAATAGGCCATAGTGCAAAATAATGACAATTTTGTATTAAACAGAAGATGTGCAAATAGAGATACTGGGGTGCAAATGAGCAAAATAAATAACAATATGGGGATGAGGTATTTGGGTGGGCTAATTACAGAATGGGCTGTACAGGTGCAGTGATCAGTAAGCTGCTCTGACAACTGATGCATAAGTTAGTGAGGGAGATAAGAGTCTCCAGCTTCAGAGATTTTTGCAGTTCGTTCCAGTCATTAGCAGCAGAGAACTGGAAGGAATGGCGGCCAAAGGAGGTGTTGGCTTTGGGGATGACCAGTGAGATATACCTGCTGGAGCGCAGACTACGGGTGGGTGTTGCTATGGTGACCAGTGAGCTAAAATAAGGCGGGGATTTGCCTAGCAGAGATTTATAGATGACCTGGAGCCAGTGGGATTGGCGACAAATATGTAGTGAGGGCCAGCCAACGAGAGCGTACAGGTCATAATGGTGGGTAGTATATGGGGCTTTGGTGACAAAAAGGATGGCACTGTGATAGACTACATCCAATTTGCTGAGTAGAGTGTTGGAGGCTATTTTGTAAATGACATTGCCGAAGTTAAGGATCGGTAGGATAGTCAGTTTTACGAGGGCATGTTTGGCAGCATGAGTGAGGGAGGCTTTGTTGCGAAATAGGAAGCTCTAGGTAGTCTTGGTGGTTCCAAACGGCCTCCATTTAAGAATGATGGAGGCAACTGTGTTTTTGGGGACCTTCAATGCTGCAGAAATTCTTTGGTACCCTTCCCCAGATCTGTGCCTTGACAATCCTGTTTCTGAGCTCTACAGACAATTCTTTCGACCTCATGGCTTGGTTTTTGCTCTGACATGCACTGTCAACTGTGGAACCTTATATAGACAGGTGTGTGCCTTTCCAAATCATGTCCAATCAATTGAATTTACCACAGGTGGACTCCAATCAAGTTGTAGAAATAGCAAGGATGATCAATGGAAACAGGATGCACCGTAGCTCAATTTCGAGTCTCATAGCGAACTCCCTGTTCACCCACGACTGCGTGGCCACGCACAACTCTAACACCATCAAGTTTGCTGACGACACAACGGTGGTTGGCCTGATCACCGGCGACAATGATTGCCAGGCTTTTTTGCGCTATACTCGACTTGAGTGGGTTGAGTCACTGACGTGATCTTCTTGTCCGGTCTTGCCTGACCCTGTATATAGTATGCTTGCTTACTTATTGTGTTCTTCATATTCTTCTTATTTCTCTAGTATTACATTGTTGGGTTTTGAGTTTGCAATAAAGGTTCAAACTTGAACTGAACACTGTAGCCTCAATTAGACTAGCTAGCTAACGTTAGCTAGCTTAACTAGTTTGATGCAGTCAAGACAGGTACTACGTAATCATATTTGATGATAAATAACCTAGCAATGACAGCTATTAGTCTACTATAGCGTGGGTCGGCTTGGTTGTTTGCGGTCTCTCCCTCCCTGTATCACTCGGTCACAGTACGGCCCCTCCCTCGCCTGCTAGAGCGGCACCTCTCTCTCCCTCCTCTCACGCTTTATCAGCTCTGGTTAATAAAGTAGCTTACAAAATTACTTTTCTGCTGCTTTCCTCACTCGGATCAGAACGAGTCTGGATCCGACAAGGTCTATACGGAACGGGTCAAGTTGGCCTCGGGTCCGTTCGGAACTGGTCTCTATATTTTGAAAATAAATGTATGCATATCGGGTGGGAAAGCCCCAGGTCCATTTCAGAACGGGTCCAACTTCGCGGACCCGTGAAGACCTCTAATCTGGACCACGGCAGTGAGCAAGAGGATGTCAGTGTTGTCATCCAGCTCAAACTCATGACTGTAGTTCTTCACTGGCAGGACACACACTCACCTCGCGAGCAAGCGAGACAGACACAGACACCTCAACCAATGCCCGAGCACCTGTCCTTTTACCTCTGGACTCACCATTACCAGCTGGAGTAAACCTAGAGCACTGGTCACCAACCGGTCGATCTTCAAGGGATTCCTAGTCGATCACCAAACAGTTCTGAAAAGCCAATGATAAAGGCTTGCGCTCCTTTTGTTATTTATTCATGTGGCGCTGTTGGCAGTAGGTGCACTTGATTCAGAAGCCCTGTGTACCGGGTAGGCAATTTTTTCCCATTTTGAAGCATTTAAATTTGTCTGAAAAGACCGGGAGATCTGTGGCTAAATCGAGTGCCCCTACTGCGCTGGCCAATCGGATAGCTCAAATCACCGTGGCTACAGCTTCCACGACCCCGGCCACTACAAAGTTTGATACTAGCCTACGTGAGATTTCATAACTTGTAAAACCATGACCTGAGAGAGACTGTCAAAGAATACAGCAAAGAGCTGCTGTTTGAGTGAGTTCATGTCTAAGTTTTTATTCACCACTTCCAACACTGTTTTATTCAACACTATTACAAAACATAAAACACGCTTCTCCCTACTTCCACTCGCGCTGCAATGAATGAGTAGCCAAGTGTATAGATAGCCCTGCGTTTGTATTATTATTAGCAGCTCGTCGTGTCTATTTTAATATGGAGGAATATTTCACTTATTCTGGTCATAGGAACAACATTAATTCGTGCATGATGCAGATGCGGTGCGACTCGTGTTTCGCCATTAGGTGAAAGACACTGTCCCCTCTCTCTGGTTAGTCTCAAACCCTCCCTCCGCAGAGACTAATGCCGTGTTCAAAACATCTGGAATTCTAACTCGGACCTGAAGATCACTGACATCATGATTTGACCTAGTTTCTTTTCAGAGTTCCCCGTTGTCTTGAAAGTGCCATGACCATCAGATGCAGGTACCATCAGTCCAGTAAAATAAAAAAACAAATGATTTGCAAATTATGATCAGCTGTGCCTCGCAAGTGCTACACCAACTGATCTATTTTGTTATCAAAGCTTTTGAAATATAATATGGTCTGCTGTGATAATGTATTAGGCAAATATGCTGTGATAATGTATTACGCCTACTGCACAAACCTCATTCCTTCAGAACAGTTTATTAGGTTAATAAGACATTTTTTAAATCATGACTACAAAAGTGATCTTGACTCAGCAAAGGTTGGTGACCACTGACCTATAGACAACACACATATGCACAAATACACCCACGTCTCTGTGCGAGCTTAACGCTAGTAGCAATGAACCCCCCACTCCAGGAGAAACACTGGTGATCAATTTTGCAATTTATTTTAGAAACTGTCATGGTCCAGTTCCAATATCTCCAGGCGAGGTTATAATGCTCATTCACGAGCATACAAATACAGTGTAGGATGGCGCTGATTTATCAATGAAAATATGCCAATATGTTGCATGGGACAGTTTGATAAATCCCAATACTTTGTTGCGCAAGCAAATCCTATAATCTCCACGTACGCCAGAATTTAGTGAGAACGTTTGAACGGTTGATAAATGAGGCCCCTGACAGGGAACCAGGGTACAGTGTGTTTCAGAACAAAATAAACATGTATTGACATAGGTTTTGTCCCAAATGACAACCTATTCCCTGGGCCCTGGTAAAAGTAGTGCACTAAATCGGGAGCCATTTGGGACGCAACCATGATGTTTCCCCTGACCTGGTTGGAGGACAGCGGAGAGGTGAAATAGTGGCTGTGCAGGTTGCGTCCGGTGTTGAGGTGGGTGAGGCGGATGGTCTGACCACACTTAACAGGAGTCCCCCTATGACATAGGGCCCCGCTGGTGCCCCGTACATTCCAGTAACTGTTACTGTCCTCCACTGTAGTCACCCCTGTCACTGACTGCTGTCCGCTACCTGCAAGGGGTCACACATATACAGAGATGAATACACACATAGACTGCTGCCCGCTACCAGGCAGGCGACACACAGAGATCAATAGACAGACAGAAATCAATAGTCAGGTAAACAGACACATCATTACATTTAAGAACACCAGTCAATAACGTTAAGTGAACACACTGGAAAAGCGAGGAGGGACGGAGAGAGAGAGAGACAGAATCTAATCAAGCCATCCTGATGTTTCCATTTCCTCTGGTCAAGCTAGCTAGCAGTTAGCTAGCTAGAATGTATTTACTCACCAGAGCCGTAGCGCACGTCGTGAGAGTGCAGTCTGACATTGTGCTTTACATTTAACAGCTTCACGACCGAGCCGCAAGTCACAAAGCTCAGTTCCGTTCCGAGCGATAGCCCAAATAAACATGATAATAAGAAAGAGCTCAATAAAAAGTGTGCGGTCCCAGTACATTTATCCATTACCGCTCTCCGCTGCCAATAAAATCAGCGATTTAAATTAGTTTATGCTACGTCATCGAAATGGCACAGTGGGAAAGGAGAGAGAATCTGCCTTTGCGCCGGCTGGTGGCGCGGAGTAGTTATTGCAGATTCGAAACATTACAGAGAAGTGATGGGACTTTTCAAGGTTTTGTTAGAATTTACTATTTCTGAGTCTTTTTCGTTTCTTAACGTTGGAAACAATACTTATTAGTTCGTTATTTTACTTCAATCGCTGCAGAACGTAGTCGTAGGACTTGACGTTCCACCATTGTCCACCAGAGGGAGTTGGTGAGATCCACAAGCAAAAACCGCTTCCGTGACACAGCAGCGGGGCGTCGGAAGTTTCTTCAACACCGGAACTCATCAGCCATTTGTATAGAAGCTGCATGAAAGTATAGCATACCAACACATCCTTCTACATTTCAAGGATTTAAGTTAAATCTCGTCGCAGGGAGAAGTAAGTTATTTTAAGAATAGCCGTGACTCGACTGATTCTTCTTGTCCCCCTGGCTAGCTAGCTAACTGCGAAGTGCAGCTAGCCTAGGAGCCTTGTTGTTGTCTCCCAGTACCGTGATTTAGCAACAAAACAGATTGCTAACTGAAGTCAAGGGTACATAATTCACAATTCATTATCAACGTGCACTCACTAACTAAGTCGCTCTGGATAAGAGCGTCTGCTAAATGACTAAAATGTAAATGTAAGTGTGCTGTTTGTCTTTTGTGCGCGAAACGTCAATCATCTCTAGGTGAACATTATGTTCCAGAATCGCCCAACTCATTCTGTTCAGCAATCCATCCACGATGCTCTCTTCTGAACGTTGTTGCGTGGGATTCAGTGCCATGCTAGTGACGTCTTTGCATCCCCATCAACCCTCTATTCTCGAGTTTTCCTGGTTTGGTGCATCTTTGCAATTAGTGACAGCAAGACTGTTAAAAGCAACTCCGAGACCAATATTCTCTGATACAAATTCTCTCTAGCGCAGTGGCTCCCACCCTGGGATGTTAGGATCCCTGGGGCTACTTGGCCTATCCACAGGGAGGTACTTGAGAAGACTCATGAGACCATAGGCCTACTGGTAAAATTGCACAGGAGGGGGTACTCCTGGCAGAGCAAAATTCAGTTGGTGGTACAGCAACCAAAAAAGGTTGGGAACCACTGCACTGCCGCACGTCTTGTGTTAACCTGTAGTGTGTGTCTGTCCAGGCCTTGCAGACATGTCTGACTTCATCGACAGCGAGGCTGAGGAGTCAGAGGAGGAGTTTGAGGAGAAAGACCTAAAGCCCAAAAAGACCCAGGCGTTTATGGATGATGGTGAGCTTGAGCAGATTATTACAATTTACTGATTTCTTATGTAATCATCAGATGAGTATGATGAATTAATGTCTGTCCGCCCGTGCAATTCTTCTGTCAAGTCTTCATCAGTCCGTGAGTGTGTGTGTGTGTTTATACGCAAATGTGTTTGCCTGTGTGTTTAACGTTTCCTCCTCCTCCCCAAACAGAGGAAGAGGAGGAAGAGTTAAACACAGAGGACCAGGATGAGCACGGGAACCTGAGGGGGCTCATCGATGATGATGATGATGATGAGGAAGAAAAGAAGAGTGGAGGAGCGGGCAGCGGCAGCGACTCAGAGGATGAAGTCAGACACAGACGCAAGAAACGCAGTGAGTTTGGGCTTCAGGGACCTCATTTATAACCATTGTGTACATTTCACACTAAATATCTGCGTGCGCCATTTCTGAAAAGACTGCGCACGTACAAAAAGTTTGAGATTTATAAACTTGCCGCAAGTCATACATATGCATGTTTCCACATTATACATCAGACCCGTCCTGAAACTGTGTGCCTGTGAACGAGCATTAAAACTCCCATCATTCACCTTTTATGGTGACAATAACACCCTTATTTGCTATACTTTGGAAGTATTGGATTAAGGCCAAGGCAGTATCTAAAGGAAATAGCAATAGCGAACTGGATTAAATGTCTCTGGCGGTGTTGGCAGTGACATTTGCTGCAGTTTCTGACTTTTTTTTGTGTGCAAATTGTTGTGGACCTGTGAACAGATCGTTTGAATGCAATGTTTTGCGTTTACTTTTTCCCTAACCTAAATATACTGCACTGCCCGCAAATTCTGAAACATTGTCTAGTAACCTATGTCTATTTTTATCAACTACAGTAGGCCTACACACAGTGGTAGCCTGAACACTTCATCTGTTAAATTCTACTGTATATTATAAACCGTGCTCCCTTTCGGATGCATAGAACAAAATATTTGAAATATTCACCTATCTAATATGCCCAATGAAATGAGATGCGGATGGTAATCTGTTGTAGGCTAAAGCTTCTTCAGTATGATCCCATCATGGCCAGAAATGGTGGTGTGGAATTTATTCTGCAATGGTTATGAAAATATGTATTATAAATGGAATATTGTTTACTTGAGACATTTGAAATTACAGGAGTCTATTCAGACGTACAGTAGCCTACAAAAACATAAATGGAAAAGGTGAACCGTCTTTTCTACTGTTAAACTGCGCTTTGGATCAGATCGCATAGAGCAAAATACTTGAAATCTATTTAATATTTATCTATTTATTACTGTAAAGTGGGTCTAATTAAATGAGAGATGGGACGTTGTAGGCCTATAGGATACTTCGGGAGTATGAAACCATCACAGTCAGAAAAGGTGAGGAATTTATTCTGCAATGGTTATGAAAATAAAATTAATAGGGAAAAGATTCATACGTCTATTTTAGATTTAAAAAATAAAACACAGATTTTCGCTCCTCACCAACGGCAAATGGCTGCATTCTTGTTAATGTTTTTTTGTTTTGTTTGTTTTTATGAGTAATCTTTTCATCATATCCCTCATTTGCACAACATACTTACTTGCCAGTTTACAATACAATATTTCAATCACTAGCAGATGTGCGTACGCGTGGTCTAAAGTTTACGGAGTGGTAAGCACATTCTCACGTCAAGGAACATTTTTAGAAATGCCAACTTTTGTGTGAAAACTGGCGCAAGCACAGTTTGGGGTATATTTTGTACGTACGCACAGCTTATAAATAAGGCCACTGGGCTGTTTAAGACGTTCATTCGAAAAGGTTATTCACTCCCTTCCACTTTGTGGATCTGATAGTCTTGTCTAGTAGATAAATTCAAGCAATTTTATGGAAACTAATTTCCGCTTTCTTGCCTTCCCTCTATCTGTCTCATTCTCTCCTTTTTTCCCTTTCTTTCCCTCCCCAACCTTTTTCTACCCCCCCCTCTCTCCTCCCTCTCCCTCCCCCCCCCCCCCCCCCCCCCCCCCCCTCTCCTCCCTCCCTCCCTCTCCCTCCCCCCCCTCTCTCCTCCCTCCCTCCCTCTCCCTCCCCCCTCTCTCCTCCCTCCCTCCCTCTCCCTCCCCCCTCTCTCCTCCCTCCCTCCCTCTCCCTCCCCCCTCTCTCCTCCCTCTCCCTCTCTCCTCCCTCCCTCCCTCTCCCTCCCCCCTCTCTCCTCCCTCCCTCCCTCTCCCTCCCCCCTCTCTCCTCCCTCCCTCCCTCCCTCTCTCTCCTCCCTCCCTCTCCCTTCCTCCCTCCCTCCAGACTATGATGACTACCTGGATGATGATGATCTGGACCTCATTGAGGAGAACTTGGGCGTCAAAGTCAAGAGGAGGGTAAGCAGACACATCCTCTCTGGGGTGCTTTCAATCGGGAATCTAAGCCTATATTAATAAAGTTGCTGAGTAGACGTGCTGATCTAGGATCATATCCACCCTTGTCTATATAATCATATCATTAGATCATATTCATTATTATCTAGAAGGTCAAACTGATCCTTTAGCAGCACTCCTACTCTGAGATGCTTTGTTATTAAAATGACTCACGACGACACATTAGTAACACATTCAATTGTCATATGACCGCATGGACCCCAGTTAAAAGCTCTCTCTCCCTCTGTGGCCCTGACAGAAGAAGAAGTATGACCGCGTGAAGACGATGGACGATGATGAAGATGAGGAAAAGGACCAGATCGCAGACGAGATCTTCCACAGAGGAGACGACGACGGAGAGGGGGAGCTGGAGGAGGGAGAGACCATCGACCCGCCCCTCCATCGCCATGGTGAACGCCACGACGAAGAAGAGGAAGAGGAAGGAGAGGAGGAGTCAGGTACTTCTGATAATGATAATAATGTTACAGATGTAAGTCTTTTTGAGACACTAAAAGCTCTATATACAGCACACACCTGTCTATGTAAGGTCCCACAGTTGACAGTGCACGTCAGAGCAAAAACCAAGCCGTGAGGTCGAAGGAATTGTCCGTAGAGCACCGAGACAGGATTGTTCCGAGGCACAGATCTGGGGAAGGGTACCAAAACATTTCTGCAGCATTGAAGGTCCCCAAGAACACAGCGGCCTCCATCATTCTTAAATGGAAGAAGTTTGGAACCACCAAGACTCTTCCTAGAGCTGGCCGCCCGGCCAAACTGATCAATCGGAGGAGAAGGGCCTTGGTCAGGGAGGTGACCAAGAACCCGATGGTCACTCAGACAGAGCTCCAGAGTTCCTCTGGGGAGATGGGAGAACCTTCCAGAAGGACAGCCATCTCTGCAGCACTCCACCAATCAGGCCTTTATGGTAGAGTGGCCAGACGGAAGCCACTCCTCAGTAAAAGGCACATGGCAACCCGATTGGAGTTAAAGCACCTAAAGGACTCTCAGACCATGAGAAACAAGATTCTCTGGTCTGATGAAACCAAGATTGAACTCTTTGGCCTGAATGCCAAGTGTCACATCTGGAGGCAGCATCATGCTGTGGGGATGTTTTTCAGCGGCAGGGACTGGGAGACTAGTCAGGATCGAGGGAAAGTTGAACGGAGCAAAGTACAGAGAGATCCTTGATGAAAACCTGCTCCAGAGCGCTCAGGACCTCAGACAGGACAATGACCCAAAGCACACAGCCAAGACAATGCAGGAGTGGCTTCGGGACAAGTCTCTGAATGTCTTTGAGTGGCCCAGAAAGAGCCCGGACATGAACCTGATCTAACATTTCTGGACAGACCTGAAAATAGCTGTGCAGCAATGCTCCCCATCCAATCTGACAGAGCTTGAGAGGATCTGCAGAGAAGAATGGGAGAAACTCCCCAAATTCAGGTGTGCCAAGCTTGTAGCGTCATACCCAAGAAGACTCGAGGCTGTAATCACTGACAAAGTTCCATCAACAAAGTACTGAGTAAAGGGTCTGAATACTTATGTAAATGTGATATTTCAGTTTTTTTATTTTTAATACATTTCCAAAAAAATACTTGTTTTTGCTTTGTCGTTATGGGGTATTGTGTGTAGATTGATCAGGGATAAAAACAATGTTATCCATTTTAGAATACGGCTGTAACGTAACAAATTGTGGAAAAAGTCATGAGGTCTGAATACTTTCTGAATGCAGTGTATTACAGGAAAGAGCCTTATACATCATTTTGGCTGAATACTTCCTGGTTCTGTAACTCATACTGATTTTACAAATGTCCTCAGATATTGACGACTTTATCGTGGACGACGATGGCCAGCCCATCACAAAGAAGAGAGGCAAAAAGTTCTCAGGATACACGGACGCGTGAGTCACACACATCTCCTCAGTCAACTAGACAGAACGGTATGATGCCTTTAGTCCTAGTTCTTTCCTTCCTACGTACATAGAAAGTGCAGAACAAACATCGACAGCAGAATCTATTGAATACTTACCCGTTGAAAGCAGCTATGATCTATTTATTTGTAATGGTGTACATTGGTTTATGAAACAGCTCTTCAACATATGTACCTAATGTATGAACTTAGTTATGAAGGGATCAAGTAAAACAATTATATAAACATTGAATCTCTCCCTCTCTCCTCCACACCCCATCCCTCTCTCTTCTCCCCGTCTACAGAGCCCTCCAGGAGGCCCAGGAGATCTTCGGCGGTGACTTTGACTTTGCAGAGTTCGATGCTGACGGTGCGTATGAACAGGGTGAGGAAGAGGAGGAGGACCAGGATGAAGGGGGCTGGGACCGGCCCAAGAAGCAGACGAAGAGGAGAGTGGGGAGGAAGAGCATCTTCGAGATCTATGAGCCCAGCGAGCTGGAGAGTAGTCACATGACAGACCAGGACAACGAGATCCGCTCCACAGACATGCCAGAGAGGTTCCAGGTAGGGGGGTGTGTGTGAGTGAGGGTAAGTGTGTGTGTGCTTCTTTATTTGTCTGTTTCACCCTCCTGTGTCCTTGAACATAGTTGTGTGCCATCTCAATGAAGCCCTGTGTGTGTGTCTCACCCTCTCTCTGTGCTCTGTCCTGTAGCTGCGCTCCATCCCAGTGAAGCCTGCTGAGGATAATGAGTTAGAGGAAGAGGCAGAGTGGATCTACAGAAACGCCTTCTCAACCCCCACCATCTCCATGCAGGTAGGAGCCTCTGACCATACCACACATTCACTTCATACACACTGACTACATACTCACACACTACCTTAGCCCCACCCCCACCATCTCCATACCGGTAGGAGCCTCTAACCTACTGTATAGCCCTAACATACAATATGATATACCCAGGGCTCCAGAATAACATTTAGTCCTGGTGGCACTGGTGCCACTAAGTTTTTCAGTTGGTGGCACCAGCCCATGATTTGGTCGCACCAATTTCTTTCTGCGGTGTCACGCAAAAGACAAAATGTGTAATCTTTATAAAGTATTTCACAATGCTTTATTAAGTGTAAGTGATAGACTACTGAGATGGCATTCAATAAAAAAGTTGTTTCATATAATATGTAATGATTCAAAATATTTTCATGTGCAACAGAATCCATTGATTGTCATGAATTTTGGGTGGACAGTTAGGCTATTGTTGTATTTTACTATTAAAATAGGGTTCTAGAATTATATATTTTTTGGTTCAATAGAGATGAATTGGCCTGCATCTTTATGTGCACTAATATCGTAGGCTTATTTATTTGGGACTAATTCACCACCTGAGTAACTCAAAACACATTAGCTAGATCTAAATATAAAATTATACTCTAAATATAATACCCACTGCTAGTAGCCATGTATTAATTTAGCAGTAAATGTAATGTCCAAAAGAACGCGTGCTCCGCTCCTTATCTCAAAGCCATATCAAATATCTCAGTTGTAGGCTATAATAGTTGCTATTGAGCTCAAAGTTGAGAAATTATACATAAAGAAAGCTGAGAACCTCTTCAACTGTGACAACAGGATAGTTGTGTTTTCCCCGCAATTGGATTTGAAAGTGTTATACAATCAGAACGCATGTTTTCTCCTGGAGCTTTTTTTTTGGGACACAGCAGCAGGCCCCAGTGAAACAGGTACAGAGGACGGCAGACACTTTCATCACAGGAATCGTGAGGATGATGTACTTGACTGTTTGGCCAAATCATGGGTTTAGCCTCCTAAAAAATAGGACATTTTGAGTGAGGTGACCATGTAGAATGTGCAGCTCGCACCGATGCAACTAATCAAAAATGTAACTCGCGCAACCAAGTTAAAGGGTCGCAAAATGCGACCAAATGGTCGCAGTCTGGAGCCCTGCATATATCCATATCCACCATCCTCAATGCTGGTATTACTTACAACCACCACATACCTTACAGACAACACACAGACAACCAACAGCCCAATACCTCCCTAAATATCCCACTTCATACTCCTCACCCAACCTCACTATCTTTATAATAATAATAATAATATAATAATAATATAATATGCCATTTAGCAGACGCTTTTATCCAAAGCGACTTACAGTCATGCGTGCATACATGTTTTTTTTTTTTTGTGTATGGGTGGTCCCGGGGATCGAACCCACTACCTTGGCGTTACAAGCGCCGTGCTCTACCAGCTGAGCTACAGAGGACTATCTTCATACACATGAACAGCCCATACATTACTGTCTCGGCCGACTCTATACTCTTCTTTTTTTGTTTAAAAAAAACAATCAACTGTTTTCTGGGTGTTCAGGAGAGTACAGACTACCTGGACAGAGGGACCACCACAAACTTCAGCAGGAAGGGCCCCAGCACGATCGCTAAGATCAAGGAGGCCCTCAACTTCATGAGGAACCAGCACTTTGAGGTACACCTCTCGGTGACGAGTGTGTAATGACAATGGCATCCGCATACAAAGGTTCGCTTTGCTCCTAGCAGAACTCGGCTAGGCGACGCGAACGTCTGTGCTCGCATACTCCCTTAAGACCTTCGCTTGAAAAACAAGCAATATTACTGTTTGTCCCTCTTGAGACGCCGTAGCAACAACATAGCCAATAGTCCAAATTAATCTGTAAATCAAGCTTTACAGTGTGTCTGTCTCATGTTCTCACCCACTCTACATTCTTTGTTTGCTCCAGGTTCCGTTCATCGCGTTCTACAGGAAGGAGTACGTGGAACCGGAGCTCAACATCAACGACCTGTGGAAGGTCTGGCAATGGGACGAGAAGGTAAAGGATGACCTCATCACAACCTTTGACATCTGACATAACTTTCAGGTCCACCCCCCAGCCCCACACACTTCTGCATATACCAGCAGTTGGTCACCTTAGCTTAGATTATGTTACAACTGTAATCCAATAGAAAGAATGTTGTTGCTAGCCTAGGTCCATTGTTGTTTCTCCTCCTGGCTCTTATTGACCCACTTCCTGTCTCTTGACCCCTGACCTGTAACCCCTGTCCTCTGGGACCCCAGTGGTGCCAGCTGAAGAGTAGGAAGCAGAACCTGACGCGTCTATTCCGGAGGATGCAGGGGTACCAGTATGAACAGATCTCTGCCGACCCTGACAAACCCCTGGCTGACGGCGTCAGACCCCTGGACACGGCTGATATGGAGAGGTACGTACAGCCAACCAGAGGGTCAGAGGAGGTATGGACTGCGTCCGAAATGGCATCCTATTCCCTGTATCAGGTGTTGGCAACAGGTGGGCCAACCCCTGATCCTATTCCCCCCCCCCCCACAAAGTATTTATAAAACAAAATAAAAAAAACTTTGGGGGGGGGGGGTGTTTAGTTTTCGGTCAAAAAGACTAGAAAATCACCAGGAATTCAGCAAAAATGTGTTTAATTCAGGAAGTCTCCAGAAGTGCCCCCCTCAAAAAAAGATGTGTGATTAATATGGGATTTTTCGATCCAATCCCTATTTTAGAGTGGAAATATTCACCGATAACCGATATATGTGCCGATCTTTGTATTATTATTATATCTCTAATGAAAAATAAACATTTTTCTGTATGGATTGTGCGTTAGAACAGCCCTACAAAGATACTCAGAAAGCTGATTTCTTAAATTTTAGGAAAGAAAATGCATTTATGATAAATGTTTATTATTAACTTACATTTTTACAAACGAGGGCATTGCTGTTTGCTTATGGTCATTCAGTGTATCCCAAAAGTAGATAAAAAATATATCTGCACATTATGAATGAAAACGTATGATTTATGGAAGTCGATAATTAAATAATAACAGTAGGCAAAAACAACATACATTTACATTTACGTCATTTAGCAGACGCTCTTATCCAGAAAGACTTACAAACTGATTTACAGCCAGTGGGACAACCACTTTACAATTTATTTATTTATATATTTTTTTAATTTGTAGAGCATATTTTTTATTTTCATTTGTTTTATATATATATATATATATATAAAATATATATATATATATATATATATATATATAAAATATATATATTTTTTTATTTTTGTAGGGGGGGGGGGGGGGTGTAACATAAATACAAATAGATTGCAGAATAATTCAAAACTATTAGGCAAGCTTTGAATTTGTGTCCTGTTCCTGGAGTGAAAGGAGGATAATTCCAGACAAAAAAATTGCCTATGCTTGAGCTGCTTCATGCCAGCTAGCTGGACAACAACGATACATTTTCAATGTATTGGTATTTAGTTATGTTTTCATCAATTGTAGGGCTGTATATAGCAACTGCATTCTGGTAGTTGTCATTTGAAAGGAAAAACAAGCGTTGCCTCAAAGAACGGTCCATGCTATCCGGGATTCCTTGGGACGTCCCTACCCCCATTGAAGTTGAAATGTTAAATGGTTACGTTAAGGTTCGGGTTAGGTAAGGGTTATGGTAGAGGTTAGGGTTTAGGGACGTCCCAAGGGTCCCGGATAGTACTAACCCTCAAGTACTCCCACACAGCTAGTTAGTTGAGTACTCGTAATGGAAATGGGGGTGGTGAAACATGATTTTGGACCAGTCCTTGACAAGTGACAACCCGTACATCAAAACGTAACTACGAAGCGCTACTTTGTTTTTTTGTTGTTGCGTTTTCTCAGTCTTTTATTTCGGCCCATTTCGGTGGATTAAACGCTGATACAAATACATCTGTAAAAGGCCAATATCGTCCGATTTTAATATCGGTCAACCGATAAATCAGTCGGGCTCTATTCTCAACGTAATCAAGGTATGATATTATTGTTATTTTCAAATCAAATCAACCTTTGGGCATAGTTGCGGTCAATTTGCAGTGTAGAAATTATGAGACTGTTTTTCCGGACCCCCGACCATTCACTCGGACCCGCAGCTGAATCTAGTTGCCTACCCCTGCCTTATATTGTGCACTAGCTTTGACTAGAATAAGTAGCCATGGAGAGGTACGTTTGTTTTAACACATGGCCATAGGAGAACACTGTGGTATGAAGGGGTCAGTGTGACCTGTGTCAATAACACAAGCTCTGTCCTGCACATTGTGTAAACTTGAAGCGACAGGTGTAAAAGGACAGATAAGGGATATTGTAGAAATAGAAGTTCAGGAATCAATGCATTTTTTTATGAGGTGGTGTTCTCTAGTGTTGTAATGCACTAGGGGCCAGTTTCCCAGACACAGATAAAGCCTAGAGAATCCCGCCAAGACTGTCTGTGCCTGATATTCAGACTTTACATATTAACAACCAGATATTGAAACGGTTTACGAAAATGCACAATCATTTATTGAATATGTTATGTGGATAATGCCATGTCCTTTGGTGCCGCCGATGTAGCCTGTAAAGCGAGAAAGATGCATGTTAGAGTTTGGTTGGCTGTTATTTACTCTTTCCATTCATGTATTTTTGTGCATTCAATTTGCCTTACAAAGTACACATTGTAATGGTTTTGAGAGAACTATTTCTACAGGAATGTAAGTTACAAACCTCCCTATTAGTCCTGGTTATTGAAGAGGTGAAATGTTTCTTCCTGCTGCGTCAGGAGGTTTGGCAAACCAGGTCTGCAGTCTGATGCTCGATATATCCTGTGTGGTGGGTAGTGCCAAGCTGGCCAAATCCCAGGGGGAGATAAATGTTACCCCAATCTATAATATGCTTTTGGCATAGGCTACGCTCTTATTGGAGGTGTGTATATTTATGATGATGTATTATTTATTACCTAAATATGTTATGGTGCATTTAATGCCTGTATTTCAACCTGTTAATTGTTGATACAGTCCGAGGTGAGGCCTATGGAATTATATTGAAGCCAAGTCATTCCTTTCTTGACCAGGCTGGGGACAGGTATTATTAAGGCCTGGTGTTTATTGGGTTCAACCTTTTTATTTGATTTATTTTCAGTTTACCCCAAGTTTGTTTAGTGTTCTGGCCATCGTCATGTTTATTTTGTTTTCACATTCACATAGTTTTGGTGCCTCTTCTCCACTAATAAAAAGCGCCCCTGGTCACTGCACTGGGTCTATCTTCCGAGTGGCGCAGTTGTCTAAGGCACTGCATCGCAGTGCTAGCTGTGCCACTAGAGATCCTGGTTCGAATCCAGGCTCTGTCGTTGCCGGCCGCGACCGGGAGATCCATGGGGCGGCGCACAATTGGCCAAGCGTCGTCCAGGGTAGGGGAGGGAATGGCTGGCAGGGATGTAGCTCAGTTGGTAGAGCATGGCGTTTGCAACGCCAGGGTTGTGGGTTCAATTCCCACGGGGGGGCAGTATGAAAACTAAAAATAATGTGTGCACTCACTAACTGTAAGTCTCTCTGGATAAGAGCGTCTGCTAAATGACTAAAATGTAAATGTAAATGTCTACTTGTCTGCCTCCTCACTGAAACCTCCACAACTAGGGCAGCCTCCCATACACGTAGTTTGTGTCCAGGAAGCTGGACCCAGATTTCCCATTACATGATTGTCAAAGTTCAGAAGTCTCATATACCCATGTCTTCATAAAAGACATAGGAGCAATTTAGTAAAGTCCAGCTAGTGTAACTGTTTCCCTTTCTCCTCTCTTCACCTCTCCTCCCCTCCTGCAGACTGAAAGACGTCCAGTCCATAGACGAGCTGAGTGATGTGTACAGCCACTTCCTGCTGTACTATGGCCGAGACATCCCCAAGATGCAGAACACAGCCAAGGCCGCCAGTAAGAAGAAGAAGCTGAAGAAGATCAAGGAGGTTAACGAGGACGGTAGGACAACGTACATTTTGGGGCTAAATGGCATATTATTATTATTATTATTATTATTATTATTATAATTGTTAAAATGTTTAACTGAAAACTGTTATGGTAAATAACTATATTGTTACCCAGAAATTATTTGATAAGGAGATCAAAACGGGTGGCATTGTGGGTGGCATTATTGCATACAAAGTAAAATAACGGCACCCTTCGAACAACCATGCTTTGTCCTTTTTTAAATGTGATTTCCACACTGTGTGACGACATGTCACTTCCCTGTCCTTTCAGGTGAGGAGGAAGAGGTGGAGGTGGAAGTGGAGGAAGAGCAGAAGGGGCCAGACCTGAAGCTGGCATCACGTAGAGACATGTACAGCATCTGTCAGAGCGCAGGGCTCGGTAAGTCACCTTTGACCTCTAACATGGTGTCTATTTATCCCTACTTTATTGGACATAAGCTTGACTTCGTTGTGCGTGTGATGGACGTGATGGATGTGATGGATGTGAAATGTAAAGCAGGTAGGTGCACATGCAGTACCCTGCTCTGCCTCAAGAAATTACTTCTGGCAATATGTCCTTTTCATATTCAGCAGAGACTGATGTTTTAAAATTAGGGCTGTCAAAGTTAACGTGTAAAACGCGTTAATGCGTTACATTTCTTATGCCGTTAATTTTTTGGACGCCATTAAATCATTTTCTTAGTTTGACCCCCTGAACCATCCATAGTTAAAATGCAAGCCCCGGCAGTCAATGCACTAGTTTGACAACCACATCACTAGCTAGCTACTTGTATGACTGTATGATGGAGAATGCTAGTAAGGGGCTTTTAAATGGCAAATTCAATTTTACATCTCTCCCAGATGGATATCTAGATAAAACTAAAGTAATTTGCGTCTACCGCAAGGCTGAATTTGTTTATCACCAAAGTACATTGAGTCTTCGTTATCATTTCCTAGCGAAACACGCCGTTGACGCCGGCAATACAAGTAACGTTACTAGTAGCAGTGGAGGACATCTTCGGCAGGCTAAGCTAGAAGAGTGTGCGCGCGGGAGGCCTATGGACAAGTGGACAAGCAGCAAGCTAACACAAGCAATAGCCAAGGGGATAGCTACAGCTTGCAGGCCAGTCCACATTGTGGAGGACGAAGGCTTGAGGGATATCATTCGGATCGCATCGAACGACTCAATGTATGAGTTACACTCGAGAGCCACCGTCGTTACAAGAATACACGAGCTGTATGAAAGCGAGAGGGCTATGAATGCGGAGGAGTTGAAACATGCAACGGCTGTTGCTCTCACGGGAGACCCCTGGACTTTGGTGAGTAACCACAACTACTGTACTTTGGGGTTACTGTGCACCAGAACATGATTGCAGCTGTGAGACATCTGCCTTTTGAACACCTGCCCTGCACAGCACACAGTCTCCAAAGGTCAATCACAGTGTCCCTACAGAACAGCGGGTTCGACAATGACTAGCCAAATGCCGGAAAATAGTTAAGCCTTTCACAAACAGCCCACCGAAACAACAACCACTGAGAGATGCTCTGGCCCAGCAGAAAACGAACATTACCATAACATCCACAGCTGAACTGGAGAAACTGCAGAAGCTGAAGGCACTACTGGAGCCCTCACGATTAGTGAGTGAGAGGGTGTGAGATAGTACACCCCCCCCCCCCCCCCCACTGCAGGTACTTGACTGAGCTTCTGGGAGGAGAGAAGTACATTTCCTGCTCAGTGGTGTTGCCTGCTTTGTGTCATCTCCTTCGGGGGATGGAGAGCTCTGATGATGACCCTGCCTATGTGGTAAGATTCAAGCTGATATTCACAACAGACCTGGAGAAATGCAAGGAAAACACCAACCTCACATGGCTGAAGATCGCCACAGCACTCGACCCAAGGTTTAAGGACCTGAAGTGCCTTCCCAGACCTGAGAGGGGTGAGGTGTGGGCTTTGGTCAGCAACTTGCTAAAGGAAGAGAGGCCTGCACATCAACCTGATAAAGCAACAGCCACCAAAGAAGAAAGCTGCCCTCTTGTTTAGTTCTTCTGAGTCTGTGCCTGATGAAGAGGAGGAGTCCATTGAGAAATGTGTGGAGCGTTACAAAGCAGAGCCCTGCATCAACATGGAGGACTACAGTGGTGGTCACATCATGCAGGGGCACACACCGGGCTGGCGTGCATTGCACGAAGGTACCTGGCAACGCCTGCCACATCAGTACCTTGTGAGAGGTTGTTTTCACTCTCTGGCCATATCGTACAGAAGAAGAGAGCAGCTTTATCGTCTGAAAATGTCAACAGGCTTGTTTGTCTTAGCAACTGACTCATTGAAAATAAATGTGAGGATGACTGAAGTGTAGGGTCACAGGTTTATGTTCTGTGGAATTCATGACATTGTTGGACAGGTTTATGCTATTTGTTAATTGTATACATAGAGCCAGTTATTTTTTCTAATAGCCAACCCTCCAATCAGTAACTGGGAGAACGCTCATTTGGATGGCTGTGTGTGAACTTCAAGAACATTTGTGAGGGAGTAGGCCTACTGGGAGCATTAGTAAATTACAGGACTTTTGTATTGCTTAACTTGTTTATGGTGAATATGGCATTTAAAAACATTCTGATGCATAATATTTTTTGTGTTTCAGTCCCTACATTCCTATAACTCAATACGCTGCTTTTTATTTATTTATGGCAAATATTTATTTAGCACCAAATGTGAGCAAATAGAACATTTGCGATGAACTACAGAATTTAATGCGATTAATCGTGATTAATTATTTTAATAATTTGACAGCCCTAGTTAAAATATGAGTGCACTGGGACATGTATAAAGATGGAAGATCCTGTCTTCCTTCCCCTCTCTCTGTCTCAGACGGCCTGGCAAAGAAGTTTGGTCTGACTCCAGAACAGTTTGGGGAGAATCTGAGAGACAGCTACCAGCGCCACGAGACAGAGCAGTTCCCTGCCGAGCCTGTAGAGCTGGCCAAAGACTATGTGTGCAGGTAACCACACCACACACACAGCAGGTAATAACAAGTAACTCTATAGAGCTTGCCAAAGACTATATCTGCACATAACAACACACACACTGACCCCCTACCTCTTTTTGCTCTCTCTCTGTAGCCAGTTTAACAGTCCTGAGGCGGTGTTGGAGGGGACTCGTTACATGGTGGCCATGCAGATTTCCAGGGAGCCTCTGGTCAGACACGTCCTCAGACAGACCTTCCAGGAGAGAGCCAAGATCAACATCAATCCCACCAAGAAAGGAAAGAAGGTAGGGGAACCAAGACAATGCACTAACGCTAATGACGTAGAGTTATTTAGGGTCTCTGGACTAAATGCCATGATAACTTCCTTAGGTATCACCACTCTGCTTTACTATTGTTTAACAAACTGAGAAGGTACAAACCTGTGCTACAGTGCTGTGCCAACATATACCAAAGTATGAGTGAAACCTGTCTCCAGACGACAGCAAACATGCAGACAATAAAACTAGGGCTGACCCCAATTAGTCGACTGGTCGATTGTTTGGTTGTTAGGCTGTTGGTCGACCAAGATTGTTTTAATCGAGCAGTAACAAATATACACTAGTTCAAAAGTTTGGGGTCACTTAGAAATGTCCTTGTTTTCGAAAGAAAAGCGTTTTTTTTGTCCATTAAAATAACATCAAATTGATCAGAAATACAGTGTAGACATTGTTAATGTTGTAAATGGCTATTGTAGCTGAAAACGGCTGATTTTTAATGGAATATCTACATAGGCGTACAGAGGCCCATTATCAGCAACCATCAGTCCTGTGTTCCAATGGCACGTTGTGTTTGCTAATCCAAGTTTATCATTTTAAAAGGCTAATTGATCATTAGAAAACCCTTTTGCAATTATGTTAGCACAGCTGAAAACTGTTTAAAGAAGCAATAAAACCTGGCCTTCTTGAGACTAGTTGAGTATCTGTTGAGGGAGAGGTTGTTTACCTGGCACCACGCCATCAGAGGGCCTACCTCCTCCCTGTAGGCTGTCTCATCGTTGTTGGTAATCAGGCCTACTACTGTCGTGTCATCAGCGAACTTGATGATGGAGTTGGAACTGTGTAAGGACATGCAGTCGTAGGTATACAGGGAATACAGGAGGGGACTGAGGACGCAACCTTGTGGACCCCCGTGTTGAGAATCAGTGTCGAGGAGGTAATGTTGCCTATCTTGACCACTTGGGGGCGGCCCGTCAGGAAGTCCAGGACCAAGTTGCAATGGGAGGAGTTCAGACCCAGGGCCGTGCTTTGTAATGAGCTTATAGGGCACTATGGTGTTGAAGGCTGAGCTGTAGACGATGAACATCATCCTCACACATGCATTCCTTTTGTCCAGGTTGGTAAAGCCTTGATCACATCGACAGCGTCATTGCATTTTGGTACACCAGAAGTACATTCATTTACAAAGGAAAGCTGTGTGACTTGCAGCATTGCGTTGCAGAGGCAGGTGCAGTGTGTTCTGTGTGGTGCGTACGTTGGATTTATCGAACGTATGCGTCAAACTATGTGTAATCAGCTTGACAGAAATGGTTAGCAGAAGGTTTAACTTTTGTTGCTCACATACTGTATCCAGATGATGCTGCGTACCATTTTGCGCAATGACGCTATCGGTGTGATCGAGGCGTAAGGGTAGTGTGCAGTGCAATGGCGATTGCGTCGTCCATAGATCTGTCAGGGTGGTAGGCGAATTGGAGAGGGTTGAGTGTGTCGGGGAAGGAGGAGGTGATATGGTCGTTGACTAGCCTCTCGAAGCACTTCATGATGACGGAAGTGAGAGCTACAGGTCGGTTAGTCACTCAGTTCAGTTACTTTCCTTTTCTTGGGCACAGGGATGATAGTGGACATCTTGAAGTGGCCAAAATGTTTTAGATTATTGTCCTGCTGAAAGGGGAATTCATTTTATTTGTATTACCTTTATTTAACTAGGCAAGTCAGTTAAGAACAAATTCTTATTTACAATGACGGCCTACACCGGCCAAACCCGGACGACGCTGGGCCAATTGTGCGCCGCCCTATGGGACTCCCAATCACGGCCGGTTGTGATACAGCCTGGAATCGAACCAGGGGGTCTGTAGTGACGCCTCAAGCACTGAGATGCAGTGCCTTAGACCGCTGCGCCACTCGGGAGCCCGGTGTCTGGTGGAAAGCGGAATGAACCAGGTTTTCCTCTAGGATTTTGCCTGTGCTTAGCTATATTCCATTTCTTTTTTTTCCTGAAAAATTCCCTAGTCCTTAACGATTACACGCATAACAATATCATGATGCAGCCACCACTATGCTTGAAAATATGGAGAGTGGTACTCAGTAATGTCTTGTATTGGATTTGCCCCAAACATAACACTTTGTATTCAGGACAAAAAGTGAATTGCTTTGCAAGTTTTTTTTTCGCAGTATTACTTTAGCGCCTTGTTGCAAACAGGATGCATGTTTTGGAATATTTGTATTCTTTACAGACATCCTTCTTTTCACTCTGTCAATTAGGTTGGTATTGTGGAGTAACTACAATATTGTTGATCCATCCTCAGTTTTCTCATATCACTGCCATTAAAGGGATACTTTGGGATTGTTGGCAATGATTTTAGCGTTAGTTATCATTGGCTCGCGAAACGACCTCTAACTTCCTTCATACTGGACACAGAGACATAGAAATGGTATCCACAAGTATCCCTTTAAACTATGTAACTGTTTTAAAGTCACCATTGACCTCATGGTGAAATCCCTGAGTGGTTTCCTTCTCCGGCAACTGAGTTAGGAAGGATGCCTGTATCTTTGTAGTGACTGGGTGTATTAATACACCATCCAAAGTGTAATTAATAACTTCACCATGCTCACAGGGAATATTAAATGTCAGCTTTTTTGTTTGTTTTTACCCATCTACCAATAGGTGCCCTTCTTTGCGAGGCATTGGAAAACCTCCCTCGTCTTTGTGGTTGAATCTGTGTTAGAAATTCACTGCTCGACTGAGGGACCTTACAATTATCTGTATGTGCGGTACAGAGATGAGGTAGTCATTCAAAAACCATGTTAAACACTATTATTGCACACAGCGAGTCCATGCAACTTATGTGACTTGTTAAGCACATTTTTACTCCTGAACTTATTTAGGCTTACCATAACAAAGGGGTTGAAAACGTATTGACTCAAGACATTTCAGCTTTTCATTGTTAATTTGTAAAAATTTCGAAATACATAATTCCACTTTGACATTATGGGGTTCTGTGTGTAGGCCAGTGACCAAAAAATATCAGTGTAATCAATTTTAAATTCAGGCTGTAACACAACAAAATGTGGGAAAGTCAAGGGGTGTGAATACCTTTTGAAGGCACTGTAAAATCAACAGTTGTAATGTTTGGATTCAGTCTTGTGTCAGGTGAACTGTTGTCCTTCACCTTTAGTCTAATCATTTTCCTATAATCTCCAAACTGTTCCCTTTTTAATTGCTACCATGGGTATTAGGGATGTGCACTTTCCCTTTCAATAAGATTCAATACATATCTAGATACTAGGGCTCCGATATGATACAGGAACGCTACATTTTCGTTTTAAACGATTCGGTGTGATTCGGTTTGATTAAAGAACAAATTGATATGATTCAATGCACTTCATTTTCCATTCTAAATTAATGAGCTGGGCCTGTCTGAGCTGAAGTGGTTGTGGGTGTGTGTGTATGGTGTACAGTGGGGAAAAAAAGTATTTAGTCAGCCACCAATTGTGCAAGTTCTCCCACTTAAAAAGATGAGAGAGGCCTGTAATTTTCATCATAGGTACACGTCAACTATGACAGACAAAATGAGAAATGTTTTCCTAGAAAATCACATTGTAGGATTTTTAATGAATTTATTTGCAAATTATGGTGGAAAATAAGTATTTGGTCAATAACAAAAGTTTCTCAATACTTTGTTATATACCCTTTGTTGGCAATGACACAGGTCAAACGTTTTCTGTAAGTCTTCACAAGGTTTTCACACACTGTTTTTCGGCGGTGCCGGGTGTAGCACGAAGCTAGCTAGCTAGCCGTTTTTCGAACAGAGTCAACACAGTAGCCATTGTGTGCTGTACTGTGGCAGCTAAATACAATATATTTGTGCTAAGCTAGCCAATGTTTAATTATTGCTGCGTTATGAAAGGAACTAGACACGGACACGAATTATCTGCTTAGTGTGTTAACACACTATTGGTGGTTTGTTGTGACCAAGTGTTGGTGCTAAACTGTGTGTTATTGGATGCTAGCATGCTAGTTAGCTATGGTGTCATAGTTAGCTAGCTGAATAAAGTGGGTTGAGTCTACTCCTTTAAACATTGAACCGCTGTGGTTCACAACAATTCTGATTTCTAAAGGTGGAAGTTGGGAGAGTTTTTGTTCGGGTGGTTCAGTGAAACAATTATAGTTTCTGAGGTGGAAGTTTTGGTGAGGGAGGCCCTGCTCTCTCCTCTTCCAGATGTTTAGTTCATTTCATTCCGATCTCCTCTGCATTATTGTAGCCATTTGCTACAGCCTGTCAACTATGCCTCTGCCTATCCCTGTTCTCTCCTCTCTGCACAGGCTACACAAACGCCTCACACCGCGTGGCTGCTGCCTCTCTAACCTGGTGGTCCCTGCACGCACCCCACACCTGGAGTTCCAGGTCTCAGGCAGCCTCTGGAACTGCCGTTCTGCTGCCAACAAAGCTGACTTTATCCCAGCCTATGCTAACCTCCAGTCCCTCGACTTCCTGGCGCTGACGGAAACATGGATTACCACTGAAAACACTGCTACTCCTACTGCTCTCTCCTCATCTGACCATGTGTTCTCGCATACCCCGAGAGCATCTGGTCAGAGGGGTGGTGGCACAGGAATCCTCATCTCTCCCAAGTGGACATTCTCAATTTTTCCCCTAACCCACCTGTCTATCTCCTCATTTGAATTCCATGCTGTCACAGTCACTAGCCCATTTAAGCTTAATATCCTTGTCATCTATCGCCCTCCAGGTTCCCTTGGAGAGTTCATCAATGAGCTTGACGCCTTGATAAGTTCCTTTCCTGAGGATGGCTCACCCCTCACAGTTTTGGGGGATTTCAACCTCCCTATGTCCACATTTGACTCATTTCTCTCTGCCTCCTTCTTTCCACTCCTCTCCTCTTTTGACCTCACCCTCTCACCGTCCCCCCCTACTCACAAGGCAGGCAATACGCTTGACCTCATCTTTACTAGATGCTGCTCTTCTACTAATCTCACTGCAACTCCCCTCCATGTCTCCGACCACTACTTT